GGATAAAATTTTTTATTGTAAGACTTGTGTTGCTGTAAATGTAAATGTATAATATGTATAATAAAATTTTTTTTATTAATAATATATAATAATATCCAAAAATATATTAATTCTATCATACAGCTAGGTACCTATCTACCTATCGTTTTAATAATATGATTTACCTATGCGAATTACTGGTATTCAACTGGCCAATAATTGAAAGTTAGTGGCCAATCTTTGAATATTTTACAAATAACCAAATGTTTCAAAATTACAAATAAACATTGATTTAAATGGCGAAAATATTTTTTAAAATCATTTATCAATAAACTGAAGAAACCAAAAAATAATATTACGGGGTCTGTAAGTGAAATTTTATTTCAAAAAATTAAATTAACTGCATCCGCCTTCTTAACTGGCCAATCACTGTATAGTTTACCCTAGAACTTGCATACAATTGGAAATTCGAATAAAATGCTATAAATCACAACAGAACATAATTTAAAATATATATAAAAGAAAAAAAAGTTGTTTTTTTTTCGTTCTTCTTCTTCTTCAAGTGCCCTGTCCGTTGCGAACGTTGGCTATTAACATGGCAATTTTGATCTTGTTTGCGGCGCTTCTGAATAGTTCGACCGATGTGAGCCCAAACCACTTCCCGCAGATTTTGGAGCCACGAGTGTCGTCTATTTTTCCCTAGACAATCAATTGTAGCAGACGGTACTTATCGTGTCTCAATATGTGGCCTAGATATTTAAGCTTTCTTTGTTTAATTGTATTCACGATTTCTTTCTCCTTTCCGATTCTTTGGAGTACCTCTATGTTGGTGACATGTTCGGTCCAGGATATACGAAGAATGCGTCGGTACACCCACATTTCGAATGCTTCTAGTTTTCTCGTTAGCGTCTCCGTCAGCGTCCAGGCCTCCACGCCATACAGCAAGATCGGAAAAATGTAGCATTTAACTAGACGTAGTTTTAGGGGAAGATACAATTTCGTTGGGCCCCTAAAAACGTCGAGACGTCATATAGTAAGATTGTTCAAGGATCGTCGCTATTAATTTAATTACGTTTGACAATCTTCTGCTTGCAAACTTGCTGTAGTAATTTTATGGTGTATCTAGTTTTATAAATCTTTACATAGTTGCTGTGTACTATAGATTTCATAATATTTGGGTCTTTTTGTTAAGACAATTTTTTCAAAATGAGGGTTTTTCCTAAGGTCAATCTGATAACTTACCCATTGTAAATATGTTTATGGTGGCCACATATTTTAAAAACGGTGAAAATATTTCCGTGGGAGAAGTTCGGAGAGTTAAAGCAGATAAGTAAATACATACTCCCATTATATTAATTGTATTCTGATTATTATTCTTATAAGTGGGCGTTCAAGTATTAGGTATCACAATTTTTGAATATTTTTGATCCCCCCATGTAACTCAACGTAATTACCAAAAAGTCGGTAAAATAACTTTGTTATTGTTTTAATCATATTTGCGATAATAGTAAATAAAACAAGAGGTTTCTAACTTGAAATATTAAACTTTTACAATTTTTTAAAGTTTTCTCTACTCCATGCTGACACACATTTTTGGCTTCATACCTTTTTTCATAATAAATTCATTAACTAATATATTTATTTCTGCATTTGGCAATACAATTAGAAACGGAAATGTAACTTAAATAAACCATTTTGTTCAAATTAAAATCGTATCATCATCATTCTGGCTTTACAACCCTGAGTGGGTACCAGTCTCCTCTAGAATTTCTCTCCAGTCGTCCTTATCCATCGCCTTTCTCCGCCAAGCACGTATTCTCATATTTCTCATGTCTTCATCGATGTTTACAAGGAACCTTGTTTTGGTTCTTCCTCTTTTTCTCTGGCCAATGGGTCTATCAAGGAGCGTTTTTCTAGCTGGCTTATTTTGTTCCACCCGCATTACATACCCTATCTAGCTTCACACTCCATTGTCATTCACTGCTCCACAGATTCGCCTTAGTATTTTTCTTTCGAAACATCTAAGTTTTCATTACTTTTTGGTTAGAGTCCAGGTCTCTGAACCATATGTTAGGACTGGGCGTATTATTGTTTTTTAAAGTTTTATTTTTGTATTTCTCGATATAATTGTGGATTTAAGGAGATTGGACCCAAAATAGCATCTGTTGGCCGTGTAAATTCTACGGTTTATCTATGCGGTAGTATTATTTTCAGTGTTACCTAGGGAGCGCTCCCAGGTATACAAATTCGTTCACTTCTTCGATGACGGCATTTTCTATAACAAGTGGTCGTAGGATTTGTGGTTGCGTGCTTATTTTCATATACTTCGTTTTGTTGGTGGTTATTATTAAACCCATTTTTGTAGCTGATTCTTTTAATGCTACATACGCCTCTCGTACAGCGTTTTCCGTTCTTCCAGCAATATTGATATCATCAGCATAGGCCAGGATGTGCACTGATTTATTATATATTGAACAAGTGGTTGTGATTTGTGACATACGTATTACTTTTTGCAGAGCCAGATTGAACAGTATACAGTAGAAAGGGCCTCCCTGGCGCGGTCCGTTATTTGTTTTAAAAGGTTCATACAGTTCCCCCTGAATTCGTACTCTACATTCAACTTTTTTAAGAGTTAGTTTTGTTAAATTTACCAACTGATTTGGTATTCCTAGCTCTTTCATTGCTTTGAACATTTCTCTTCTATTTACACAATCGTAGGCTGATTTGTAGTCTATAAATATGTGATGAGTATCAATGCCATATTCCAGTGTTTTTTTCCAAAATTTGTTTCAGGGTTGCAATCTGATAAATTGTCGATTTACCACCTCTGAAACCAGTCTGGTATTTTCCTACTATCCGTTCTGCATATGGTGGCAATAGTACTGTGGAAAATATTTTATATGCTGCATTTAGTAGCGTAATTCTTCTGTGGTTAGAGCATTCAACGATATCTATATTGAGGATTTCTGTGTCATATGTTGCATAAGTATTCCATTGTATCATGCCAATTCTTTAGGCAGTTTCGTTGTTGTTAATAGGTCGCCATTCTGACTTCTGCATTGTCTTGTGGTTGCCTTGAATTATTTTCTGTTGATGTTAACTTTCTTATAGAATGCTCTGAATTCTTTCTCTCTGTTGAGTCGTTCTATATATTTAAGTTATTTATTTAGGTGGTTTCGTTTTTTTTCTTTTGTGCATTCTCTTCTCTTTGTCTGGCAATTCTTTACATTTGTTCTTGGCCGTCGGATAAGAATCTTTCTGTAGGCTTCATTTTTTTCTTTTGTTGCATTCTTGCATTTATATTCAAACCAATAATTTTTACGGGCACAAATTTCTGTTTCTATTTCATCTTTCGCTGCTGCTTCAATGTCTTCCTTTATTATGTTCCAGTAGGAGTCCTATATCTGTCTGGCCTTATTCATTTACATTTTGATTCCTTAGCTTGTTGGTGATGTTTTCCGAGTATAGAAACTCGTTACCAGATACGAAGAAACCCAGTCTTACGAAGCTTCTGAGAGAGCTGTTTGGTGAAAATTGGATCTTGCGAGCAGATCTAAAATGGTATAATGATTTACTTGTTTCCGCTAATGCAGACATGGAATCTACTGACAAAGAAGTAGATGAGAGCGAGGAATGTGACTGTTTGGATGAAGAACCTGCTCTTCACATATAAATATTTTTTGTTTCTCATAGTTCCTTTTGACTTTTGTGTTCCAATTTTATAAACAAAATGTGTTTTCTGGCGTTTTAATTAGTTCTTTTTGAGAATTTTTAAAATTTTGCAATCAAAACTATCCATATCCAGATTAATAATCATTTTTTTTTTCAAAAAACGTTAACTCAAAAAATAAAAATCAAATTGCATCAAACTACTTTCCTAAAACACTACAAATAAACCTTATCTTGTTATCCCCAAGTACTAAGGCCAACCGATAAGAAGTTTTTTTCGTTTCCTGGACATTTTTTCCAATTTCATATAGCCCCTTTTGAACGCAAGCTCCTCAAATATCTTTACGTTGATCGCGACATTTTTGGAGAAGTTGTGATTAGATCTAATATCTGCTCCAGGGTACATACTCTACTCATGGAGTTCCTCAATATTTTATTGATAAGAATGGATGAAAGAGATAGGTATTTAAAAAACAATTCAATTGGAGTTACTAAGCACTCCTCTGTCCATAGATATGACAGACACTCAGATACTTTCAATACTGGCATCCGGAGAGCAGACGAAGAGGGTTCTGGAATAATTATTAAACTATGTACTTGCATCAACTTCATCTTCGTTGAGCAAATTCGCATCCTCAGGCGATGTGTTATTGTTGCGCATAATGCAGAGAACCTTATTTGCTCTTTTGTCAGTAAGTAAGTCGCTGTGGGATGCACTAGTGTGGCATTTGAAATAGATCCTACTGGTTGCACATATTCTGTTATTGGGGTCGCATTGTAGTGATGGACAAAAGCAATCGTAGGGTACCTGTTTAAATAATTTCAATGTATGCGACAATTCAGATTAAAACCTCACAAGAAGTGGTGAAAACTTGCATGATCCTTTATCTAACTGACTAAGTACCACGAGCTTACTTGAGATTTCTGAAAGACAGATTGTAATGCACTCTTCGAGCAGCATTCATGTGGGCATTTAATCACTTGCAGAAATATTGTGATTTACAGATCTGAGTGCTATATCATGCCAGATTAAGTTCTGCTGGATCACGAAAGCTATCTTCAGGCTTTCTGTATTGTATCGAAACATCGTAGTTGTCAATTTTCACGTTTTTTTTTTGAACTTTTGATGACATTACTAGAACCTTCAAAAACTTGTATAAGATTTTTACGCGAAATCGATGATTTTTTTCACAAATAGACTGTGGTAAAGTGAGTACATTCGTCTGAGAAATGTTATAATACATATATTCATTTCATCAACGTAAGATGTTAATAAAATAATTATTTTGTGATATTTATCAAATAATTGCATAACTATCTATATAATTAAGTTTTAATTTGATCTTTTGCAGATACTGTGCCCGAGGGAGATATATCTTTAAATTATGGAGAGCCACTACAAATAACATGTTATATTTATGACGAATACGTTGAGAAATATACTAATGCTAGCTCAAGGCTTTATTTCACTAGAAATAAAACAATATTCGATCCAAATAATGGAACAGTAAGTATAATTCTCAAACTTAGTTACATTGCAATACGGATTGTGTATTTTAAATTCAGACATACGTGTCGTATTTTCCTTGTATTCCTGTTGATTCTGATGTATTTTGTACTGTCTGCATTGCTCCATTAGATCAAGTATCTCTTCAGCAATCCACTCGTGTTTGTGATTTCTTTTTGTTTTACTTGCGACTACTTCGTCAGCCTCGACTATAGCTATTTTTATTTTCTCACAGGTTTCCTCTATGTAATTTCCTTGTATGTTCCTCAAGTTCTCATGTGCTTACTGTATGTAGATCTTAGCTCTTCATCTCTCATTAATTTTCTAGTATTTATATATTTTTTATTAGATATCTTTTTAACCTTTGCCAATCGAAGTCTTACATGTGCGATTAGGGGGTTGTGACCAGACGGAATGTCCGCACCAGGGTAAGCGGCCACTCTTTTTATATAGTTGCGGAATCTTTTATTTAGCAAGATGTAATTAATTTGATTTCGTATCATATGACCTGGACGATCTCCTGGTGCTCGCCATGTATACAATCTTCTTGGTGGGAGTTGATACCACGTATTGGATATGACGAAATCGTGTCATTACAAAATTCAATTAGTAACTCTCCTCGCTCATTTTTGTTACCCAGACCGAAATCACCGACCGCATTACCACATCTACCCTTACCAACTTTGCATTAAAATCGCCCATTATGATGTTGATACATACATAATGGTAATGATACATTTTTCTTTTATTTTTCCCTCGAAAGTGTTATTTTTCCCTCGAAAGTGCTACTAACTACTACTAGAGTAATAGTATGCTAGTTAGACTGAATGCTTTTAATTGATGATTGTGAACACCTATGATCTGCAATTTATTGAATGAAAATGCACTCGATACTATCTCTGTAAATTTTTGTATAAAATAGAATATAATAGAATTCTTAATAATAATGTGAGTTTAAGTTGTCTTTTTTTTCTAGGTTTCCAGTTCCCACTTGCCACCAATTACCTACGATAGATCTTTTATAACTCCATATGATAAAGTTGATCTAAATGATGAAACTGTAAGTATATGATTAATTACTATGTTTAATTTCTTTATTCGTCATTTTTTAATTACCTAAACTTTTCAACTTAAAGGTTCAAGTTATGAATTTTTCAAAAAATGCTAGCATACGTTTTATTTCATCTTTGATATTTTGGTTTTAAAATTATAATTCTTGTTTATTATCAGCAGGAACACAAAAAATTTATTAATAAAAATCTGTTAAAACCATAAAATCTGTAGTTCTTTAAATATTTACAAAACGAAACACGCTAGGTATATACAACCTGCTTTCAAAAGAAATGTAATATTCGCTACAACATAGAATACTAATATACGGGGTGTTCTATTAAAAAAAAATTAGAAAATTTTGTATTTGAAAATAGTGATTACACTGTATATTGTATGACTAGCTGTCAAAAGATATTATCTCTCCTATTAGTCATCAACCCTCAATATCTCTTTAGCATCGATTCTTATTTCGTCTATCCACCTCTTCCTTGGTCTTCCTACTGGCCGACGTCCCACCATAGTTTCACTAAGCGTTCTACTGGGTGTTCTGTTATCATCCATTCTTTTAAGGTGACCTGTCCAGCACAATATTTGTAATTTTGCATAATTTGCTATAGAGGGGGTCTTTGTAATATTGGTATATCTCGTGATTAAACATTATTCTTCACATGCCATTGTCGCAAATGGGTCCCAATATCCTTCTCAATATCTTTTAAAAGTATTAATAAAGTTTATTGTCTTTTCTGTCATTATCCATGTTTCTACGCCATATGTTGCTATTGGTCGTATGATGCTACCACTGGATACTCTGTTTTGATGGTTTAATTTATCAACAAATGGTCAAAATCCGAAGATTTCTTAGTTTCCGAAACCAAATTCAGATAATTGCGCAAATTTGGGCTTTCGACAATTTTCAAAGCAAAACAAATGATGAGTGGGGACAAAAAGAGAAATCAAACGATTTCTACCTGGCGAAATCGAATTCAAATTTTGACCACTGTGCTTTCTAAAATTTGCAAAGTAAACAGTTTGATAAATAACTCGACAAGAGAATCTAATATTGCATTCCACATGTCGTTTATCATGGTCAAAATTATTAGTGAATTCAATTTCTGGTACTCCAAACGGAGTAAAGAAATAAAATATAAAGACGGTACTAGATTTTTGTTTCAATACAGAGCGGCGGCAACCGCTTATACGTATTTTGACCTCTTTAGATCTCGTCAGAGCGGTCAGACCTCTCTGGATCGAAACAAAATCTATTCCCGTCTTAAACAATAGTTATAAAATAACTATATACGGACGTAACTACGCCATCTAATAACATCAAAACATCAACATAACATCAATATCATCTAAAGAGAAATCAAACGATTTATACCTGGCGAAATCGAATTCAAATTTTGACCACTAGAATTGAATTTCAATTTTGCAAGTTTTAGAAAGCACGGTGGTCAAAATTTGAATTCGATTTCGCCAGGTAGAAATCGTTTGATTTCTCTTTTGTTATTAGAAGGCGTAGTTACGTCCGTATATAGTTATTTTATATCTATTGTTTAAGAGAGGAATATATTTTGTTTCCATCCAGAGAGGTGGCTATACCGCTCTGAAGAGATCTAAAGTGGTCGAAATATGTATAAGACGTTGCCGTCGCTCTGTATTGAAACAAAAATCTATTACCCTCTTTATATTTTATTTCTTTACTCCGTTTGGAGTACCAGACATTTTAGAAAGCACGGTGGTCAAAATTTGAATTCGATTTCGCCAGGTAGAAATCGTTTGATATCTCTTTTGTTATTAGAAGGCGTAGTTACGTCCGTATATAGTTATTTTATAATTATTGTTTAAGACAGGAATAGATTTTGTTTCGATTCAGAGAGGTGGCTATACCGCTCTGACGAGATCTAAATAGGTCGAAATATGTATAAGCGGTTGCCGCCGCTCTGTATTGAAACACAAATCTAGTACCATCTTTATATGATAAATGGGGAATCTACAATATGCATTCCACAACATATCAATTTATCTAGGCAAGAACCTATCGCGAATACAAATTAATTTATTCATCATCAAACCTGCAAACAAGCGGAAAGCATTCTGCAAGCCTGTCAGACAAGTCAAGCATAAACATAAATATAAATAACATTAAATTACATTTCATATTAAAATATTTTAAAAACTTTCAAAACATTACATAAAATAAAATACAAGTATTTAAAATTCAAGAAACTCACTTAGGTTGTAAAAATTATAATGTAGTAAAAATTGTTTTTACTTTTGATTTAAAACGAGCAGAGCTGCTCAGCCACCCAATATTCATATCGGCAACCAATATGTCACTTAGCTTGGTAAAACATTTCACTCCAATATAGCGAGGAGCATGTCTGTGCCAGTTCCAAACGTGACCAAACGTGAGAATGGATGATGTATATTATCCTTTTGTCAGGTATTATAAGAATGTACATCACTGTTTTTATTTAGTATTATGCTCATTTCCTGCAACATATATTATCAGTTGAAGTATGTACAGACAAGGCAAGGTTAATATGTTTGCCTTTATAAAAAGTGGTGTGAAAGATTCTGGTGGTGTCACATTATACATGGCTCGTAACTTCTTTTGTGCTATGAATCCTCTATCCAAGTATGCAGAAGAACCCCAGAAAATTAACCCATATTGAATGGTCGACTGCACTAAACCAAAGTATAACAGTAACAGAATATCAAATGATACAGTTTCTCTTAGATTTCATATGATGTAACGGAGTGTACTTAATTGTGAACTCGCATTAAGTGAATTCGATACCTGATATGAAAAACATTGTAACTCACTTTTGCTTAGTTTAGAGGAGAGCGATTGAAAAAATTCCATATTTTATTTTTTATTTCGTCACTTTGAATATTTCTTGTAGTTTCCTTAATCCATATATTATAACTTTTCCTCAGCTCTTCACTTTCACGTACCGCATTGTTGTTAAAATTACAGGTCCTGATTTAGATCGAGTTACCAAATTTTTTAAGAATTTTAGGTGAAAATCATTGTAAGTGGTTTATGCAATAATATTTCAACAAAGTATGTTTCTTTGATTAGGTGAATATAAATGGTAACTAATGAGTATATAGAGTATAAAGAGATTGTTATTAGGTTTTTGATTGATTTTACCTTAACGTGATTGTTTTTACTTAAACAAGTATTTAAGAATTCACATCATACATAATAAGAAGAAGTTAATAAAAAATTATAATATTTGCATAACAATACCCTTCCGCAGATTAATATCAAAGATAGTAAAATTATATACTTTAAACTTCCTTTGAAAGGGTGTTTTTTTAAAGGAATAGACATGTAAGTTGGAAACACTTTTTTAACTGTCGGTCATTTTGACAGCTGTCAAATCATTTATGTTGGGTTTTTGTTGGGTTTGGCACTTCAGCATAAATAGACTAGACGCCTGAACAACTCTTCCAAATTGTACAACTTTATTTTGAAAATTGTGATACTAATATATGAAACTCTTGTTAAACCTGTCCTGACATACGCGTCAGAGACATGGACTATGGTAAAAGGCGATGAAGAACTGTTAGGCCGCTTTGAAAGACGAATACTTAGACACATATACAGAGCAGTACAAGAAAGCGGGATATGGCGCAGGCGCTACAATTTTGAGTTATATCAATGCTACGAAAAATGCAACATCGTCCGGTCTATTAACATTAATAGACTAAGGTGGCTAGGACAACTTGAAAGAATGGACACTGGAGACCCCCAAAGACAGATATTATATCAAGAGCCAGTAGAAACCAGGAAGAGAGGCAGGCCAAGATCTAGATTCAAAACTCAAGTCGAAGATGACTTGAGGAATCTAGGGGTCAGAAATTGGAAAGCCAGAGCGAAAGATAGGGGGGATGGAGACTAATTCTTGAACAGGCTAAGACCCACCCAGGGTTGTAGAGCCAAAGATGATGATGTTCAATCCTGACACCCCGGAGGGAGTATAGTGGTCATCGTGATGTTGTGTATTGAACGCGTGCTCACTATGCACAGCACTTAAAATACGAAAGAATCTACTTCTTGTCGGTCATCTTCCTGATTAGAAGTGCCTGGTAAATTGATTTGAATGTTATTTATAGTAACATCCCACTGAGTTGCTTTCTTGTATCAAAACTTACATTTAAGTTGTAAAAACTGAATAGTTTTTTTGAGAAAAACATTGTATACAATCTTACAATGTTTTATAAAAAGTATTCATCAATAATAAAATTTTTCAATAAGTATTGTACTATTGGTTACAACGTTTTTTTCCACCAAGTGATTAAAAATTTGCACTTACAATTAGGTTATTTTGTTAGATAACTTTATATTTACATAAGATAGGATAAGAGTAATTACACCAAAATAAAAGTTATCCTTTATAGATGATATTTAATGCATAGTTAAAAAAACATTGTAACTAGAGTTACAATGTTATTCATATCAGGTGTCGTATTATAAATAAAGTTTAAGCAGTCATCGACAGCTGTAGCAGTGATTTGTTTTTCCTAACCTATACCCGTGCACAATATGCTGATTCAAATATTTTTTCAACATGACTAGGTATAGAAATTAACCGACAATTACTAATGTCGGTTGCCGTATATTTATTCTTACAAACAGGAAATTCTTTAGATTCTTTTACGTTGTGGAATAACCCTGTTGTAAAGAATTTATTAATTAAATATGATAAAGGTTCGGCAATATAAGCGGCTACATTCCTTATAACTTTCCCATTAATCTCATCCAGACCTTCAGCACGCTTGGATGTAGTTTTTTGAATAATTGAAACTACTTCTTCAGCACTTGTTGGGCAAAGAAAGAAGCTTCTGTGAAATTTGTCAATGTTCGTGTTATAATTTGGAATGCTATTATTGCTATGATTTTTATCAATAGAATAAAATTATTTATAAAATTTGCCTTATCTTTGGCTGATAAGTTCTCGTTTTGGATAAATTTAATGTTAGATAATTTATGTG